TGGAGATAACGATTCTATCTGCAAGGGTGTTACGAGGCTTAATTCATTATTTGTTAAGCACATGGAGAGCTTTGGGTGGAAGTAGGAGAAAAGAGGGTGACTGTCTACAAGCACACTAGCCAGCGTTCTGAGCCGTCTCAAGATCAAGAAGGAAAATTTGCAGGACCACAGCTCTGCTAATTGACCAGCACTGGCCACCTATTGATTCTGCAGCACTCTGGTGACCCCACTGCCCATATGCTCAGGGAGAACAGATTCTAAAATGCAGGAACTGGGGATTACCAGTAGATACTAATAATGGGATAAAGAGGCTATCATCTCTAGGTCACTAATTCATATCCTCCTCAGCTTGGTAGTCACCGAAGCCATCTGATGGTTGTTTGGTGGCCTCACCATATAGAGCTGAGAGTCTGTCATGGAGGTTAGAGGACCTATGATTTTCCTAGGTTTTATCCTTGTAAGATGGGCTATGGGTGACTGTCCCTGTTCTGCCTGTCCTGATGTGAGGAAATCCAGGGGCAGTCAGCACAGTGAAACATCAGACAGTATTCCAACTGGCAGATGGCAGTTCAACTGCAGATAATCTGCCCTCACTTTCAGAAAATTACCTAGCATGGCAGCCATTTCTGGTGAAAATTCCCAGCTTAAGTTGCTAGGTCTCATTTCAGTTCAGAGAGGACAGGTAACACCATCACAGCAGGCTCTTACTGGGTCCTAGCTGGCAATCTCAACAGAGAGACCAAGGACCAAGCAGGCTGTTCAGCCTGACCTCCCTCTTGCCCACAGAAGGGAACCCTCCAGAGCAGGATTAGGGCACAATGGCTGGGCAGAGGAAGCTGCAGCCCATGTGGTACCTGTTCTGTGGATAAATCAGACACCAGTCCCCAGGGCTGTCATTCCAGGACCTCGAACCAGCACTAAGTAAGGTTTCTTAAAAGTTTGGTTCCCAGCCTCCTTGCAGAACATGGACAAGAAAGCAGGCGTTTGTAACAGTGAAAATGTAGGAAGTGTCTGCTGGACACTCACTGCTCCTGTATCCTGTTCTGCACAATCGCTGTTGGGGACTTCACTCCGCTGGGGTCCTTAAGGTCTCGCAAAGTCTGGCTGGACCCAAAGATCTGTCGCAGGGATCTCTCCCGGAGATTCTCTTTGGACACAGCAGTCGGGAACAGTCCTTTAGTCTCTGTCTTCATCTCCAGTCTTACCTGCAGCGAGAGGGGCTAATGGTCACTCTTCCTCTCCACCACCCTTACAGGGTCTCTGCCCTTGGCCACCTCTCCACATCTCTACTCCCCAGTGACCTCTGAACCCCCAGTGACCTCTGACCCGTCTCAACTCTCTCTGCCCCCACCCCAGCTCTGCACCTGGCCCTCTGCCCCTCCTCCCAGCTCCCTCTGCCCACCCACTCTGCGTCAGTCGCCCTCTGTCCCCACTCCTCTCAGCTCCCTCTACCC